TTATAAAAATATGATGAAATAACTTCAGGTTGACTGTCTTTAATGACTATTTTCATTCCTTCTTTTGCTGAATTTTGATTAATATCTAAAACCCTATTTTATTCTTGACATCAGAGTTTGAACTGACCCAAAGGAAAAAATAAAGATGTATTGTAGTTTCTAACACATAACAACTTGTAATTTTTCCCTAGAGATTTTAGCATCCACAGTCTACTCATGTATTTCTTTTCATCTGATTTTCCTAACTTCCTTTAGAGACTAAGTACTACAGTAATATCTATTTTACAAATGAAGAAGTTGAGGGTCAAAATGACTGGCTGGAGAGGCTGGAACCTCCATGCTTTAATGGCTATTTTAAATTTCAGGATCCAATGACATTAAAAACATGCCATCAGAACCAGTGATTGAATGTTCCTACCAGTATAGTGAGCCCCCAACCCATTACAAAAACCAAGCTCACTTTCATCAAGTTGATTCTAACTCATAACAACTCTACAGAACAGAGGAGAACGGCTCTTGATGGTTCTGAGACTGAAAATCTTTATAGGAGCAGACAGCGTCATCTTTCTTCTGTGAAACAGCTGGTGGCTTTTAAACCACTGACCTTGTGGTTTAAACCAACACTTACTTAACCCACTGTGGCACCAGGGCACTTTCCACCCACAATTCTTTTGCATGATTTATTTATGTGTTCTTTGCCATCACCTTCACCAACAGTTGCTACAGATATGGTTCTGGTTCATGGTGGTCCCATGTGTGTCAGAGTTGTTGTTGTTAGGTGCCATCAAGTCGGTACCGACCCGTAGCGACTCATGCACAGCAGAACGAAACACTGCCTGATCCTGGGCCAACCAACCTCATTACTGTAGCCACGCTTGAGTCCATCGATGCTGTCACTTGGCCAATCCATCTCGTTGGGGGTCTTCCTCTTTTCCTTTGTTGAGTCACATCTAGATGGACTGAATGTTTAACCTTTCTGTTAGCTGTTGTTGTTAAGTACCATGGAGTCAGTTCCGACTCATGGTGACCCTGCACAGGGTTTCCGAGTAGAGCATGTTAACCACTTGCTCCACTCAAGGAAGTCAGATATAGTTGTAATCAAATCCTGGTTTTATTTCCTACCAGCCTTAGACAGTAGGTACAAGAACACATATTACTGATATTTAAATTCATCACCATTGCTGCTGCGGCTGTGGGATGCTGTCCAGTTGGTTCTAACTCAGAGTGACTCTGTATAGGGTTTGTAAAGCTGTAAATCTTTACAGGATCAGAAAGCCTCATCTTTATCCCACTGAGCGGCTGATGGATTCAAAATGTTGACCTTGAGGTTAGTAGTTCAGTGGGTAACCCACTCTGCTCCTAGGCTTTCTTTCATCAGTTCTCAGAATAAAAAAATAAGGCCTACTTCTTAGTCTTACTGTAATGATGAAATAATATGATATATAATAGAGTGTGGAATATATATGCAAATAGATGAATTCAATGGACATGAAGATATATTTATCAGTTCTGATATATGCTTTGACAAGAGAGCTCCAGAAAGGAGACTGGACCACAGTCTAAGAGGTTGAGATTCTAAAAGAATATACTGGTTAAAAAATATAGGAAGTTGTTGTCAACAAAATGCAAGTGAAAGCTTGAATAAAATCAGCTATAGCCGAAAGAGAGCGAGCGAGCGAGAGAGACAGCGAGAGAGAGAGAGAGAGAGAGAGAGAGAGAGAGTGAAAGAAATAAGAAATTATGTGATACTGACTAGAGTGAAGAAGCAAGTAAGCCTTTATATTTTGGTGATAGCAGTGTAAACTGGTTATGCCCTTTTGGAAACAGAAAAAGTTAAAAAATATCTCTATTTCTTTATGCAGTATGCTTCTCTAGAAATTGTCCTAAGGATTCAGATATAATTTGATGCATGATGAGGTTCTTTGTGATACTAGAAAAATGGCTCTTTGTTAGATATGTCTGTTTGACAGAATAATATGCAATTTATTAGAAAATGTTTCAAATCATATTGGTCAAGACAAAACATTAAATATATAGTAAGATTTCAAAAATATAAATGCAAAGTACCATGGAGTTGTTTCCAAAGAGCAGTTGGTGGGTTTGAATCACTGACCATGTGGTTAGCAGTCCAGTTCTTATCCTTCAGTGCCACACCAGTGTAAATAAATACTGATAAATAAGTATAAATAAGAAGTGCAGAATATCTATGTATGAAGAAAAGGATAGAATTTAATGCTTTAGGAGTTGTTTTTTTCTGTGACAGAGCTAAGAGTAACCACTTTTAAATATTTTAAATACTATCTAAACTGTAATCACCATGAGCTATTTTTATAGTTACTCCTCTCCTCCTTTTTTTTCTTAGATGGCCTGTTGATACACCATCTTGGCCCAAACCAGAGCTCACACATATGTCTTTCCTTTTGGACTCTCCCTGGGCTGAATAATCTGGGTTTTGAAAGGAGACAGTATGATCTAGGAGGAGGGTAAAGACTTGGGATCAGAAGACATTGGGTCAACCTAGATTTTGTGACATGGGCAAACCACTTAACATCGCAGGGAAAAATGTTAGCATTTCTACAACAAATGAGTTTGGACAAAATTATAAGTTTCCTTAAATGAAAAATAGAAGCAATGGCTCAGGGGTCCCCTGCAGCTCATAAATGGATCAGATTATTCAGAACCATTGAGGATTGTGAGAGATTTTCAGGTCAGAGAAGAGATTATGAAATCAATAGATTTTTCCCACTGCATTTTTCTTCCTTGTAGGAACTATTTTTAACTTTATCTAGGAATTGAACATGGAGTCCTGGTGTGGTGCTGTGGAGTAATGCACTACTAAACCGTTTGAACTGTAAAGTCAGCGGTTCAAGCTCACCACCTGCTCCTCGGGAACCCTATCCATGGTTGCTATGAGTTGGAATCAACTTAACAGCACTTCACAAAAACAACAAGGCATTTAACACATCAATTGACACAAAAGGAGGTGGACTAATGATGCAGGAGAGTAGATGTATGACCTATTAAGAATCCTGTTGGTTCTCTAAGTCTGCAATGTTAAGACACAATAATAATTTAGAGCTAATCATTGTAACTTTTCTATACTTTTTGATTTTAGTTTTTATTCATTCAACAAATAGTCACTGAATACTGCTAGAGGTCTGGAAGTACAGATGTTAAATGCCTGAAATTCTTCATTTCAAGATACTCACAGTATAGAGTGGAAAGTTGGAGGGAGGCCAATATACCATGATGGACAAAGTGCTATCATGGAGAAGAAATCTGAGTGCTATAAATCTGGGTGTAGATATACATTGGAAGGCCTTGTAATCTAGTTTGTGGTGGGTGAAGGGGGCTTTCATATGGCTAAGACCTTGGAGTCTAGTTTTGAAGGATGTGTAAGAGTAAGGCAAATTTTGGTTAGCAATCCATCAAACGAACTGTTTACATCACCCTGATCTCTGGTGTGATAATAGATATGCATAATTAGTTCTCAAAGTAACATCTTTGCTTTTGACACTTTGAAGAGGTTTTTTGCAGCAGTTTTTCCAATGCAATATGTCATTTGATTTTTTGACTGCTGCTTCCATGGGCATTGATTGTGGATCCAAGTAAAATGATGTCTTTGACAACTTCAATATTTTCTGTTTTTCAAGACATACCAAACTATCAACTACAAATACATATGCAAATATATGTAACATAATATTTGACATTTCGGCAATCTTCACAGTGATATTAATTATGTTCATCATATTGTTCACTGTTATTTGTCCCAAATTATGTAACTGCCCTTACCAGAGGTACAGTGTTCCCTAAGCATTAAGTCATCTTTTCGTCTTCCTTCCCACATTCCCTTGGCAACCACTAATACACTTTGGTATCTATATCCTTGCCTAGTCTAGATAGTTTTATATAAGAGAAATCATATAACATGTCACTTTTGGGACTAATTTAAAATATTCCTAATAAAAAGAAGAATTTCTTGGTCCCATCTATTATTAGGAAATATAAGAGTTTGATGTATTTTCAACTAAGGGTTGTATTACCTGGATGGAAAAATTCCCAAAGTATGTGTGCCTAAGAAGTATATAGCTTTTCTACATATGAAAAGGAATTGTTGAGGCTTTATTTTTAAATTAATCTTTTTTTTCCCTTTAGCACTATCTGTTTCCATTTTTTTTCATTCTCTCTCCTCTATTTCTCTTTCTTTCTCTTTACTTTCTTCTTTGTGGAAAAGTTACCAATAGTTTGGCCTACTAAGAATATAAATATGCACTGTTTCCCTTCAAGTACATTTAAAAAACCTTTTTTTTTGATGTAACAAAAATTTGGAAATAACCTAGACATTTAATACTTAAATAGATTGGTAAATCACAGTGTAGTTCGTTTATGGACTATCATACAGAAATAAAAAAAGGACATATATAAAACTTACAAACAACATGGAAAACAACATGGTGAATGCTTATGATGTAATTGCAAGCTAAAATCAGATTACAACATTGCATCCTATGATTATAATTACCAAAATGCTGTATCTTTGTTGAAGTCCTGGTGTGGTGCTTGTGGGTTAGTGTGCTGGATTACACAGTTACATTGAACTGCAAGGTTGGTGGTTTAAGTTCACCAATTGCTCCTTGGAATCCCTATACAAGGTGGCTATGAGTCAGAACCAACTGGACAACACTTAACAAAAACAACAACAATATTTTTGTTGGGAGTCTGGTATGGCACTATAGGATAAGCACTTGACCACAAGGTCAGTTTGAACCCCAATTTTGGCAGTTCAAACTCACCAGCAGCTCCTTCCAGGGTCACTATGGATCGTAACTGACTTGATGGCACTAACAACAAAACAGCAACATCTTTGTTGACAATGAACTAGAAATAAAAACAGAAAAACTAGATTTTTTTTTTTTTTTTTTGCGATACTAACGACATTTTCTTGGGACCCTAGGTAAATCTCCTTTCACCTAAGTCCTTGCTGCAGTTCAGAATTCATGGACAGTGCAAGAAACATCACAGAATTTTTTATGCTGGGACTCTCACAAAATCGTGAGGTGCAGAGAGTTTTATTTGTTCTCTTTATGATTGTTTACCTGGTCTCTGTTGGGGGCAACCTACTTATAATGACCACAATTATCTTCAGCCCCACCTTGGGCTCCCCTATGTACTTTTTTCTGGCATATTTGTCCTTTATTGATACTTGCTATTCTTCATGTATGACCCCCAAACTAATAGCTGATTCTATGTATGAGGGGAGAGCCATCTCCTTTGAGGGTTGTCTCACTCAATTCTTTGTTGCTCATTTATTGGGAGGAACTGAAATTATCCTACTCACAGTGATGGCCTTTGACCGATATGTGGCCATCTGCAAGCCCCTGCACTATACAACAATCATGACCAGGCATCTCTGTGCCCTGCTTGTGGGAATGGCCTGGCTGGGAGGCTTTCTGCATTCATTGGTTCAGCTCCTCCTTGTCCTCCAGCTGCCCTTCTGTGGGCCCAATGTGATCAATCACTTTGTCTGTGACTTGTACCCCTTATTGGAACTTGCCTGCACTAACACGTATGTCATTGGTCTGCTGGTGGTTGCCAACAGTGGTGTGATCTGCCTACTGAACTTTCTGATGCTGGCTGCCTCCTACATTATCATCCTGCGTTCCCTGAGGTCCCACAGCTCAGAAGGCAGACGCAAAGCCCTCTCTACCTGTGGGGCCCACTTCACTGTTGTTGCCTTGTTCTTTGTTCCTTGTATATTTATTTACATGCGGCCATCGTCTACTTTGTCCATAGACAAAATAGTAGCTGTGTTTTATTGTATTCTGACACCGATGTTCAACCCCTTGATTTATACCTTGAGAAATGCAGAGGTGAAAAATGCCATGAAGAATCTCTGGAAAAAATGATCAATGGTCAAAAAGAGATCCTAGTAAATGGTCCTGGATAGTGGGAGAGAACATGTGGAAGAAAACTTAAAATCATAAAAGAGACCATGTTTACTAGGTGTATAAAGACTGGTGGAACTGCTGAGGCTAGGACCCTTACTCAGGCCTTGACTGGAACGTATCCCTGTGGCTCAAATTTCAGCCAAACAATAGACATGTCTGTAAGAGGAACAATAAAAATAGTCATCAGAATCTTCAGCCAGCTAAAATCAAAAGGGCAGCATTTACCCAAGGACAAATTTCCGAAGGGTTAGGAAAGGAGTAGGGATGAACTAGGAAACATAGGGAGGAAGTAAGAGGTGTTTCACTGAGGGGATAGTAATCAATTTGATGAAGCAAAACGTGCATGAATTATTGAATGTAATGATCTATTCTGTAAACCTTTACTTCAATTCACAATAAAAAGTTAAAAAAACAAAACAAAACACAAGACCATGCATGTGGAGGCCATATGGCACAGCAGAGAAAGAAATGACTCCAACAATTCCTGGTAAGAACACATATTGTCATGGGAGAGATTACCTACCATCAAAACTTTTCCGCATAAAACTCATTTGAATGTTTGAATCTATGTCTAATCTGCTAAGGCCTTAAATGATTGACCAGGTTCATAATTCCATGGCATCTCAATTTCTTCTGAACAGTTTATCTCAATGCACAGAACATGGAGGCACCACTACCCCTTCTTCCTTACCTGGGTTTGAGATGGAACCATCTCCATCCTGGCTCACTTGTCAATGATGAGCAGAAATCTCTTGTTGATATGTGTGGCCATGTTGTTGTTGTTGTTGTTGTTGTTAGGTGCCATTGAGTCAGTACCTACTAATAGCAACCGTATGCCCAGCAGAATGAAACACTCTCTGCTCTTTTGCCAAACACAATCATTGCTACATTGGAGTTCATTGCTGCTGCCACTGTACCTATCCATTTCTTCTTTGTCTCTGACCGTCCATTTTACCAAACACGGTATCGTTCTCCAGGGACGGGTCTCTCTTGGTAATATGTTCCATGTATTAGAGACAAAGTATGGTCATCCTGGCTTCCAAGGAGTATTCTGGCTGTACTTTTATCAACATGGATTGGTTTGTTCTATTGGCAGTCCATTGTTGTTGTTGTAGTTAAGTGCCATCAAGTTGGTTCTGACGCATACCGATCCTGTATAGAGTTTCTGAGGAGTGGCTGGTGAGCTTGAACCACTGATCTTGCAGTTAAAACCAGCTTTGCAGTACTTTTAATGTTCTCTTTCAACACCATAACTCAAACGCATCAATTCTTCTACAGTCTAGCTTAGTCACTGTCCAACTTTCACGTGCATATGTTGTTACTGAAAATACCATGGCTTAGACCAGGTGCACCTTAATCTTCAAACTGACTCCTTTGCTCTTAAACACATTAAAGAGATCTTGTGCAGCAGAGAAGGCTAATGCAACCCATCATTTGATTTCTTGGCTGCTGCTTCCATGAATGCTGATGGTTGATCTCAACAAAATGAAGTCTTTGACAATTTCAATCTTTTCTCCATTTTTATGGATGTTGTATATTGGAACAGTTGTGAGGAGTTTTGTTTTCTTTACTTTGACGTACAACCCATAACAAAGGCTGTGGCCTTTGATCTTCATCAGTATTTGAAGTCATCCTGGCTTTCAGCAAGCAAAGTTGTATCATCTGCATATAACATGTTGTTAATGAGTCTTCTTCCTCCAATCCTGATGCTACATTTTTCTTCATATAGTCAGGCTTCTTGAATTATTTGCTCAGCATACAGATTGAACAAATATGGTGAAAGAATACAACCCTAGCACACATCTTTCCTAAATTGAAACCATTTGATGTTCCCTTGTTTGAGCAATTGCTTCTTGGTCTATGTACAGGATCCTCATGAATACAATTAAGTGTTCCAGAACACTCATTCTCCACAATGTTTTCCATAGCTTGTAGTTATCGAAAGCCTTTGACTAGTCAATAGAGCACAGGTAAACATCTTTCTGGTATTCTCTCTTTTCAGCCAAGACTCCATCTGATGTCAGCAATGACATCGCTTGTTCCACATACTTTTCTGAATCCTGCTTGGACCTCTGTAAATTCTCTGTCATTGTATAGTTGCAGCTCTTTTTGTATTATCTTCAGAAAAATTTTACTTTCATGAGGTATAAATGATAATGTTTGATGATTTCTGCATTCCATTGGGTCACCTCTGTTTGGAATGGGCACAGATATGGATATCTTCTGGTCATTTGGCCAAGTAGTTGTTTTCCAAATTTCTTGGCATAGATGAGAGAGTGCCTCCAGTGCTGCATCATTTTGCTGAAATATTTTAATTTGTATTCCATCAGTTCCAGGTGCCTTGCCCTTTGTCAATGCCTTCAATGCCCTTTGGAGTTCTTCTTCATTATCATTGGCTCTTGATCGCATGCTACCTCTTGAAATGGGTGAATATCAACCATTTCTTTTTGGTACAGTGACTCTGTGTATTCCTTCCATCTTCTTTTGATTCTTTCTGCACCATTCAATATTTTGTCCATAGAATTCTTCAATATTGCAAGACGAGATTTGAATTTTTTCTTCAGTTCCCTCAATTTGAGAAATGCTGAGTGTGCTCCTCTCCATTGGTTTTCTGAATCCAGGTCTTTGCTCATTTTGTTGTAATATCTTACTTTGTTTTCTCAAGCTGACCTTTGAAATTTTATATTCAGTTCTTTTACCTCCTTATTTACTTCATTTGCTTTAGCATCTTTATACTGGAGAGCAAGTTTCAGAGTGTCTTCTGCCATACATTTTGTTTATTTATTTTCTCTCTTGTCTTTTAAATACCCTTTTGCTTTCTTCTTGTATGATGTTCTTGATGTCATCCCACATTTCTTCTGGTTTTCAGTCTTCAGTGTCTAATAATCAAATCTGTTCTTCAGATGATCTCTAAATTCAGATGGGTTATGTTCAAGATCATATTTTGGCTCTTGTGAAATTGTTTTAATTTTCTTGAGCCTACACTTGCATATGATCAATTGATGGTCTGTTCCACAGTCTGCCCATGGCCTTGCTTGGGCTGATGATATGGAGCTTTTCTATCCTCTCTTTCCACAGTTGTAGTCAATTTGATTTCTGTGTATTCCATCTGGTGAGGTCCATGGGTATAGTTGTCTTTTATGTTGTTTTAAAAAGGTATTTGCAATGAAGAAGTCATCGGTCTCACAAAATTCTATCTTGTGATTGCCAGCATCTTTTTTATCACCAAGGCCATATTTTCCAACTACTTAGCCTTCCTCTTTGTTTCCAACATTTGCATTCTCATTGCCAATAATTATCAATACACCTTGGGTGCATGTTTGATCAATTTTAGACTTAAGAAGTTAGTAGAATTCTTCACTTTCATCATCACTGGCTTTAGTGGTTGGTCCATAAATGTGAATAACAGTGGTATTAACTGGTCTTCCTTATAGGTGTATGGATCTTCTCTTTTATCTATCTTATCCTATCACAGGCACTGTTGTATTTCAAGATGTATGTTTTTTTGATGATGAATGTGATACCATTCCTCTTCCATTTATTATTCCTGTCACAGTAAACCACGTGATTGTCAGATTCAAAATGGCCAATACTAGTCCATTTCAGCTCACTAAAATATCGATGTTTATGTGTTCAATATTTTTAAAAATAACTTCCAATTTTCCTAGATTCATACTTTATACATTCCATGTCCTGATTATCAATGGATGTTTACAACTGTTTCTCTTCATTTTGAGTTGTGTGTCTCAGCAAATGGAAGTCCTGAAGGCTTTACTCCATTTGTACCAACACACTTAATTCTACCTTTAGGAGGGAGCTCTTCCCTATCTCATATTTTGAGTGTCTTCCAACCTGAGGGGCTCATCTTCCAGCATGATATCTGAAAATTCTGGTGCTTTTCATCATGTTTCAATATTCAATAGTTTGATGCTGAAAGTATATTTCTGCTATTCATAATAGCTTCGCCTATTATGAATAGGTGGAGTCAGTTCTGACTCATAGTGATCCTGATTTCTGAATAGGAGTACCACCAGTTCTTGTCTGTCAGTTTATTGTACTGTGGTGGCTTGTGTGTTGAAGTGATTCTGGGAACCTATACCATGGATATTTTAAATACCAGTAGGTTCACCCGTGGTGGACATGTTTCAACTTAGTTTCTAGATGAAGACAGACTTGCAATGATAGATGGACTACTTTCAAATATTTAGTCACCAAAAACCTTATAAATAGCAGTGTAGCCATGTAGCATGAGTGAAATCAGATTTTTGTTGTGTCAAAGCATTGAAATATATGGTTGTTTTTTATTGCCTCATCACCTGACCTAGCCTGATTGAACACTTGATATACCAAAGACTTCCATCATGTACATTTCTACTTTTCCAATCTCTTCTATCTTTTGTTGTTGTATGCTGTGACCCCACATGACAGAGTAGAACTGCCACCTAAGCTTTTCTTGACTGTAATCTTTATGGGAGGGGATCACCTGGTCTTTCTCCCATGTAGCCACTGGGCAGGTTCAGAACATCAACCTTTCAGCTACCAATCGAATGCTCGACCATTGGCACGATCAGGTTTCCTTCTCAAATGTATATCAAAATTGAAAAGGATGATAGTAGAACATTGAATGATTTGTAGAGTAAATTCATTCTGGTTATGTCCTGTGTACATTATCCACAAAAATCAAATTAAACAAAACCAAACAAACCCATTGCTGTAGAGTTGATTCCTACCCATAGCGACTCTATAGGACAAAGTCTAACTTCCTCACAGGGTTTCTGAGGTTGTAGATCTTTATGGAAGCAGACTGTCACAACTGTTTCCTATGGAGCTACTGGTGGTTCAAACTACAGACCTTTTGGTTAGCAACTTAGTGCTTAACCACAGTACCACCAAATCATGTTTTAGTTATTGTTGTTACATGTCATGAGTGTTGATTGTGGATGCAAGCAAAATGAAGT